CATCTACTGAATCACCATGATTTTTGTATTTCATGATAACCTTAAAAATTTTGCCTTTGCAGAAGCTATGCAAACCTTCTTCAGCAAAGTATGTTCTTCTGCATGATCAATAATTTTATGTTTAGCTATATATTCTATAAATTTACCCAGAACAGAAGTCAGGTAAACTAGCTTTTACTTGTTACTCCGTTTCTTTTTCAAAGCTCAGTGTTATCTTAAGTCTTTCCAATCCTACAGGAAGGAGCTCTGCATTAGGGGCAAACTGAAATCTTTGTGAGATCAGCAGTTTCGTATTTGGATTCAAGAAATCTCAGATGGATGCTATGTAGACCAGATGAGTTGTGCTGAAATTCTATACATACATACTGAGTATACATGCATACTTGCACTGCTTATATTTAATGTGTTACACCTTAGCACATAATTTCATTCCTTGTATTCGAGTTCTTCAGGGTTCATTACCAAATAGTGCAGGTATTTGTTCCAGAATTCCTGTACAATTTTCATCTCCTGCTTCAAAATTCTTCCACTGCTTTCACTGCGTCCCAGACAGGTTTCTCACTTCTAATGTACTAAATGATAAAACTTGCTCATCACCCCATGTTACTTAATTTTGGTAGAAGCAATTCATATATTTGCCCAAGTGTCGAGTAATCAGATGATGAAGGGATGCACATGTCCATATGAACCACCTCCAAGTCTGCAAGTAGACTAAATTGAACACCTTCAATAAATACATCTGGCTACCTCCACCTTAATGAAATTGGTTTTTGCTACAATTATTGCATGCTTCTTCAAGCAGCAGAATAAATATCTTACTTGGAGATGATGTAAAGATAGAGGGACAGGTGGTGAAAGATAGCAATTCCTTTTTCAATCTTGTTGTCAACATGATTGTTAAGATTCACAGTCAGGTGAAGAGAGAGCTATTCTTTTGCCGGCACAATTGCTCTATATTCCAGCCTCCACTCCTAAGCCTACAGGGATCCTGACTGTTTGTTAACAAGTCTGTTGAAATGCTGTCGTCAGCCAGCTCTCTCCCTGACAGCTGTCATGGATAACATTTCCCTGCATGACCCCAGCAACAATACAGGTTTTCTTTTCCCACCTTTTTTTAAAAATCACAGCTTGACATTATTGACCAGCTTGGGAGAGGGGCAGCTCTTGAAAAAGCAGCAAGGTCGGGTTGAGATTTTTATCAATGGCAGGTGGATTGTCTCCAACTGTTCCATCTGATAGAGGTAATTGAGCCGAGGAAATATCCAGCACTTGCATTATTGATGGACTGAAGCAGCAGTCGCAGCAAAGAAGAAGAAAGCTTACCACTTTTCTCCAGATCACATCTACCAGCCACCCCACCCTAAATCACCACCACCAGTTACCATTTCTTTTTTCCCATTCATTTCACCAAAGTTAGCCCTATGGGCAAATAATACCTCCACCACAAAACACAAACAGGTCTTTATTCATAGTTGAAGAGGCTGTAGCCATGGGCCCATTTACACTTTAGAAAAACTGCTGAGCCTCAAGTGGCACTACCATGACCACTCCTGTGACATTCATAAGCCACCTAAAAAGCCAGAATCATTTTGACAAAGGGGCACCTTCCATGACTGTCTTCCATACACAATTTGAAAACACTTTCTTGCAACCTGAGTACTTCAGTAAAACCCAAAATATTCTTTAAGCATGAGGAATATTTTCTCCCTAAATGCATGCAGTTTTAAAGTAATACATCCTATTTGGAGAACAAGCTTGAGACTTGGACTTCTTGATTCACACATTACCTATCCAGTTAAGGCACAGAAGTATAGTTCTCTTCCATCTTCTTATTGAAGCCTAAGAAAGGAAACAGAACCCTACATATCATGTGTGGGTACAAATGGTATCACTGGTAGGCAGGGTTTGTGGGTCAAGGCCTACTTCTCTTTGCCATGTGCTTCCATAAAACAGCAAGAAGTGATGGCCCTACACTGGGGATTTGTGAAAATTCCATGGAGGCTATACAAATTCAATGTTTTTTTCTGGTTTCTCATCTTAGACTTTATTCCATTCCCCCACTCCACTGGCATTAACTCCATTTGTACCAAGTTAAGCCACCATCTGGATTCCAAGGATTTTGCTTTTAATAGCAAGAGTTTATGCATTTAAAATCTTGAAATTACATTAAAAATCAGTATTTAGCTAATGCAGATCTGTGCACCTACAGGGTTCCAAAACTAAGCCTTTTCTCATCAAAGCTCTAGGAAGTCTCTCCTTTCGAAGTGCAAGAAACACCATTCTTGGAGCAAACAAGGCTACAAATAGATTATTCTTACATTTATACCCTTTTTCTTCTTGCAAGGAACCCAAGATGGGTTACAATCCTCCCCCCTCCATTTTATCTTCACAACAGCCCTGTGAGGTACATCAGGTGGACAGTGAATGATTGGCCCAAAGTTACCCAGTGAAGGCCACAACTGAGTTCAACTAGAACCCACATCTTTCAGTCTAGCACTCTTAACCACTATGCCATGTTTGCTGTCGTTGCTTTGCTTTCCCTGACATTTGTCAAAAGGCAGGCTGTCCAGGAAAAGCAAAGCTGCAAACAGATCTTTGCCCATGATAGGGAGTGATCAGTAAGGCACCCCCTTTGTGGAAAGATCCTCCACTTTTTATATGTGGACCTGACAGTTCTCAGTGCCCTGAATCTTCACCATCCTTTTCTGAGCCTCCTGGTGATCAAGAAAATAGAAAAGTGAAAACCCATTTACAGGAGCTGTTAGCTTGCAAAGGTAGCAGATCCCCATCCGGCATTAGGGATGTAGAAAGCTGCTTTACACTTAGCTGGGCCATTGATCCATCTCACCTAATACTGTTGACACTGATTGGCAAAGGCTTTGCAGGGTTTCAGGTAAGATGCTTTTCTATTTTTACCTGGTGATGCTAGGGACTGAAACTGGAACTCTCTGCATACAAAGCATGTGCTTTTACCACCATGCAATGGCTTGCCCCAGACATTGCTGTGCAAGAAAAGAGTAAGAAAATTTCTTTTACCATCAGCATCCATATGGAAACTGATTCAAAACTGTTTGGCTGACTTCCTAGTGCCTGAAGGAAAATGATTACGTTTCTTTTCTGTTTCAAGATCTTAATTGTAAAAACAATTGAGTATATGCCCACTAGAATGTAAGATGCAATAATTGTCTTCCACAAGACATGCCAAATGAGTAACTCTTAGGGCTATTGCAAGGTGAGGTATGACAGTGACACATTTAGGTAACTACAAGAGCCTTCCTTGACTATCAGATATGGTTACAACAAAGACTACCAATATGTAATCACTGTAGTAAAAATCATGTACAAGCTTCTAAGATGTGGTGCACAAGTCATTTTTTAAAGATAAAATTAACCTATTTATGGTGACAGCAGACACTTAGGGAATGATTAACTGTGAAAGATAAAAATCCAGTAAGGAACGGGGAGGTGGAGTAAGGAAATATCTCTGGTACAATGCTTAGTTTCTGCTTAATCCAGCAGTAGCCTGTGTGTGGCAAATGGCCTACCTGCCCCTGATTTGCCTAAAGTCTGCATTATCCAAGAGAGTCTTGGCTATTGGGTAGTATAAAAATGAAATAAAGCCTCAATCAATCCTCCCTTCCACTTATTTAACAGTGCACTTTTGTTTACTCAGAAGTAACTCCACAAGTAAAATGTAATTTACTCCCAGATGCCTGTATAGGATTGCAAGAGATGGTCAAAACTGAATAAATTAAAATCAAATGCTTATGTATTTGTAGTAGCTTATATACTACCAAATATGGTTCAAAACTGTGACGCTCTTACCTATAGATAGTACCAACTTCAGGATGTCAAAGAAATATACAACAGATTCAACTTATTTGGTTTTCAATGAATTTGACCCACAGATTGAATCATGTGGTTTCTGCCTGCCCACGTTTTTTCCTTAATTCCTTGAACTGAATGCAAAATTAGTTATACAAAAATATCCCCAAGAATTAAAAAAAGAAACCACCAACCAAAAAGGTGCATTTTCCTCATAGTCTTAACTGTGAAAATGCGGACTTGTGCATGGGGGTGGGCATGTTGTGAGCAGAGCCGGCTGGAGCTGGGGGCCCCTTCTGACTTGCTCTGTTTCTATGTTTCTATGAGATGCTATTTTTCAGACAATTTGCACAAATTCACATTAAGAAAAGCATCTTAGTATTAATGCACATTAATGAATGTGAATCAACACTAGTGGGCATTAATTAATGTTCTGGTGCCAATCAGAGCACACAGAACAACATTATGGTTTTAAAAAATCTTATTCTATTTGTAAGCAGGTGATACAATGAAAGACTCTGGGCAATCTGCAAAAAAAACAGAACAGATTTTACAACATCCATACATACCCATACCAGAAGTCTTGATCTCTCAGAGCAAAAAATGAACCAAATCAAGGCTTTTACTTATAAACTATGCACTCAATTTCATTTTCTCTTGAGATTATCAACTGATTCAATCAGCTGGAAGCCACTTTAGATGCTTCACTGGTGAAACTAAAAGTGCAACCATTTACAGAAACTCCAACAGAGTAAGTTGAGAAAAGTTTGCAGGCAAAAGCTCAAGGTTTGCTTGCTCATCAAACCATATGATATAGTTGTGTGAGTCCTTCTATCGAATCATTATAGATGCTGTTCTTCACATGCTTCATGTTTAACTTGCCTACCAAATACCAAAACAGTTTTTTAGCTATACCTTTTGCATAAATGATATAGAAGTAAACAGCTGAAGTATAGGCTTTGCTGCAAAATTGAAGTTAATGTAAGAAACTTGAGCTCTGAGGCAATTGAGTATTTTCAATTTAATCCTACTATGAATTTATTAAACAGCTTCCTTAAAGTCACCTTCTGTCAACCTCAGCCCCAATCCTATTATCTTTCCATGGAGATAATACTTACCATACAATGTTTCTGTAAAGATTACAAGAAGGTAATATACAAGAAGCATCAAAGAACTATAGTCAATATATAACTGTTTTAAAGTCTGATATAAATGCAAGGTGTTATTAAGATACAAGACATACTGATGCTGAGAAGTACTTCAAGCCAACTCATACCAAGGTCTAGAAATGATTACTTTCCCTTGCCAATGTATAAATGAAATACAGTGCTGAAATACAAACTGTAATTATCACCTATTAGACAGTAGAGGAGAATAACTAAGAGTACAGTCACACAATTTTGAGTGACCATGAGTTTTGATATTGCACAGATAAGATGCTTTGTGTTGAATTATGTTATTATATTAAAAGCTGTTAGGTTATATAGTTAGAAAGAAGGCTGAAACCTTACATATTGGTTTAATCAGAATTCTTAAACACACTTAGGGAATATATAGCTTAGTGCTGGTAGAAGTAAACTTATAGTCAACTATTAATACAAACATTAATGAATTGTAAAAACAGAAAACCTGGGCTACCAATTTATTGACTTCAACAAATGCTTTCATGAAATAAGTCCATCTTGCTTAGCAAGTATTTTATTATAATTTCTCCAGCTATACATCTGCTTTACATGTGTAGTTAAGAATCATTGCTGTTTTTTGCTTTTGTCTGGATTTTGTTTAAAGAGCAGAACACCCCAGATAATTTCAAGAACTTTAGGATTTTCAACTTGTTCATTTAAAAGAATTAAGGAAAATCCATGTTGTAGGCAGCAATCCTATGCATGTTCACATAGGAAGTCTTACAACACTCAGCATTTCCCACCCTTAAGGCAATATTCTATGGAGATGCCTATAACCCCCTGAACCCAGAGATTACTGTCATGCTATGATTATGATCATTCTATGCAGATTGGGACAAGTGTGGAGGCATAGGTTATCTCCCCAGTTCTCTTGCTCTGCAGGACAGCTAGACAGCTGATTTCAGCTGTCTAACCATGGTGTTTAGGAGAAAGTCACTTTTACAGCTTCAGAGAAGCAGCTGATGTAGATTTTTCCACACCAGCTGAAAGCAAATGGAGGGGGATCTGAGCACAACCTCCAGCTCCAAGATCAGAGCAACTAGGATTCCAAACAATCCTATGGCCATTTAAATACTGACTAAAGCCTACAGGATTGCTCTGTTAAAGTTTTATTGTCAAATTGAAAGTCCAAATGTATTTCAACACTTGGTTCTTCCATAGTAATCCCAAATAGTAAGGAAATCGCTGCAAATTAACTATTTTGAGGATTGGTGCTTGCATTAAACAAAAACCAAAAACGAATAAAAGCAAAGGAAGTTTGATATAATACCTGTCCCAAAAATCACAGCTGCATTCTATCTTTTTATAAAGGTATACTGTCGCTGTGTAAATAGCCACAAAAAGAAGTGAGCATATATAACATATTATGAAACAGGACAGTTGCACAGAATTGTTCACAGTAGAAAAGCGAGATACTAACCTGGTTCACATGTAAAGTGGCAAGTTGTGAGTTTATTAACCCTGATTTGTAGCAGTGCATGCTGCCATCTATAATTACTTGTTAGGTTAACTGGACTTTTAAAACCACAATTAAAAGCCAATTAACATACTGTCTCAGTGTGGACAACAAACAAGAACACATATCAGCCCTACTGGAGGCTGCAAATTCAAAATGGTGGCAGCACTCACTATGGCTAAATAATGAGCATATGAATGAACAGTCCACTTAAGACTACAGATGCAGTTACAGTTTTAGAGGGTTAATGTAGCATAAAGCTCCTTTCAGAAGTTGAGTTCCATTTAATAAAATCACTAACATATCAGCAGATACGATCCACAAATTAAAAAATGAAAATGAATTTTGTATAACCCTGAGCTTTAGGAATTGTGGAATGCTGATAATTTAAAATTAACTCTTTAAATATACTGAGTAAATATTAACTGAATTGCAATCAAGAGCAGTTTTAATTTTACCTTTGTGTCCTTAAAAATAAATATTGACAAGTGCAAATAAGAACCATCAACAGAAACATAATTCCTAACAAATCACAATGCATCAGTGCTAGCTTTGCCACTGCTAGCACCTATTTGTAGTGGAAAAGCTACTGTAGAAGAAAAGATCATTTGAAAACTAATATGCTACCAATATGTAGTCTTTGGCAAAAGATGGTTTTGCATTCCATACATATATTTTCACTCATCTTCTTACCACCTGATGGAAGAGATGATGATGTCACAAGCAAGCAAAATGATTATGCATTTTTGATAAGCTTTGGATTCTTCTCATTTGTGCTTACTCCTTTCCACATGCACCCCCAATAACTCACATTTGGGGAAAGCAGACGGAGTGACAAGACAGAGAACCTGAACATCTTCTCACCTTTTCTGCCTACCCTTACTTCCAGATAAGCAAGCCCAACCACCAGTAGCTGCAAATCTCTAGTCTAACATTTTGGCTTGTTATCAAATCATAATGCCTGACTCAAAAATAAGATCTAAACAACATAATTGAATGCTCAAGAATGCTCATGTGCTGTATTCTTCAAGGCCCACACACTTTCCTCCTTCTTTTCAAACAGAATGCTCAGAATTTTTGAGGTTCAATCAAGGTAAGCTCCTTGGACACATAGAATTCCTGGAGTTCTTCTGGCTCATATTTTATGCAAGGTCTTTCTATATGGGTTCCAGGCTCCAGGGCATTCTGACCAAGAATTTTTAGTTTCATGAACTTGATTCTCCATGTATTCTCCCTAAAAGGGCAGCGGATCAGTCCGAAGATTTGTTCAAAGATACCCAAACAAGAAGTATTTCTATGAACTGTACCAGCTACTGCCACCACAACTAACCCATGACGTGAAACTGTACACCTCAGGCCACCAGCATTCAAGTTGGGGTTCAGGAAGAGGTATTCTTCTTTCACCAATGACAGTAAGCGAAGGCTCACCAATTCTGCACCAAAGTACTCTTCTATGTTTTGTTCTGAAGTGTTGTAACAAAACTTTAGTATTGCATCATCCCAAAAGTGTTGAGGCCCCCATTCTTCTTGTGGCTGTCCAGTCAATGGGTTCTGAGAATTCAAAATTCTGAAGAACCACTGACAAAATTCCTCTCCCAGATTATGGCACTGATCGTCATCATCTTGTTTGTCTCCTCCCTGTTTTCCTCCTTCTTCAGGTTTCTGCAAGATAAAGCAGAAACTTTTAATTTTAGTCAGTTACAAGATGTGTAGGATGTTCTCCACAGTGAAATGTACATTCAGCACAAATTTAAAAGAAATCCTAAAAAGATTTATGGAATATAACAGAAAGCTCTGAAAAAATGTTTACAACTGAACATAACAAATGAATGGGCTCTGTCAGGATCTTATTGTTCCTCAGATTAACTTAAATAGGCAGATCAAAGTTCTGCATATTTTTTGCAAACAAGCTTTATTTGTTAACCTTACCTGTCATAACCCAGTCCAGACACCAGTTAAGCTCTAACTATGGTTTGCAATATGCTATCTAACTTTTTTTTTTTTTTTGCAAGACAAACCACTTGAACCACTTCTCCATACTCTTACTGCAAAGTACCACATCAGAAAGTAGGAGAAAAATTAATGGATTTGGGGGTCTATTTAAACAAGATCAAGTTAAAAACTAAGAATGGGGATAGTTAAAAAAGAACAGTTTTTGGTATCCAGCCACCAAGAAGCTACCACTGTCACCTCTTTAAATTTGGCACAAGTTTATAGTGCATGGACTGTATTATCTAAGAAAACTGGATCACTCCTGCAAAATCAAAACAGTATTAAATTACTAAAAATAGCACCTTCTTCTAAAAAGCTTTTATCTGACTATTATAATGGACGCTTTCCAGGCTCTAAGTGGATGAATTAAATCAGCTCAACTTTTCCAGAATGGAGAGCATTGGTAGCAAGAAGAAAAGTGACATAAAAACACAAGAAAAGCCATGCTAGATCAGACCAAAGGTCCATCTAGTTCAGCATTCTGTACACATAGTGGCAAACCAGCTGTACATGGGATCATTCAAGCAGAATGGATGCAAGACCTCCTCCTACCCAAGCTCCTCAGCAACTGGTGTATGCAGGCATGCCACCTCTGGTAAAGGAGGTAGTACTTAGCCAGCAAGGCTAATAGCTACTGACAGTCTTCATTAATCTGTCCTATCCCCTTTTAAAGCCATTCAAATTGTGGCCATCACCACTTCATGTGGCAGCAAATCCCATAGTTCACCCATACATTGTATGAAAAAGTATTTCCTTTAGTCTTTCCTAAACCTTCCACCAATCAACTTCATGGGATGACCCTGGGTTCAAGCATTGCTTTTCTCTGGGTTCAACGTTTTTCTCCCTTTTCAGTTCTTCCACATCATGTATTAGTTTGAACACCTCTATCATGCCTCCCCTTACTTGCCTTTTTTCTGAGCTAAACAGTTCAGTTGATGCAGCTGCTTCTCATAGGGGAGCTGCTCCAGATCCCTGATAATTTCTGCTGCTCTTCTCTGTACTTTTTCCAACTCAATGTCCTTTTTCAGGTAAGGAGATGAAAATTGAAGATTCCAAGTGCAGTCACATCAATTTTTTATTTAAGGGAAGTAAGATTTTAGCAGTTCTATTTTCTATTCCATTCCTAATTATACCTAGCATGGAGTTTGCCTTTTAAACAGCAGCTGTGCTCTGGGCCTACATTGTCATTGAGCTGTCCACTGCTACCCAAAACTCCCTTTCTTGCTCATTCACTGATAGCTCAGATCCCACCTTAACTTGGGATTTTTTTTTGCCCCAAAATGTATCACTTTACACTTGCTTATACTGAACTGCATTTGCAATTTTGATGCCCATTCTCCCAGCTTGGAGAGATCCCTTTGGAGCTCCTCATAATCCCTTTTGGTTTTATCAACCTAAAAGGCTTAGTGTCATCAGACACTTCACTATTTACTCCTAATTCCAGATCATCTGTGAATAGGCTGAAAAGTATGGTCCCAATACAGAACCTTGTGGAACTCCACTGGTTATACCTCTCCATTGAGAGAAACTGCCATTTATTCTCACCCTGTCTTCTGTTCTTTAGCCAATTAGTGATCAACAAGAGTATGCCTCATGATTCCATGACCGCTTAGTTTTCTTAGGAGCCTTTGGTGAAGAACTTTGTCAAAAACCTTTTGGAAATCCAAGTAAACAATGCAGGTGATGCTCTGCACAACCAGACTCAGTGATGCATCTTGCCCTGAGGAAACAGAGTAACATCGCCTTCCCCCTTTATATCACTAAAATATTACACAAGATATTAATGGTATTAATTGCACTGTCAATGATTGGAAGCCTCTAAACTCAGAAGTATCTGATCATCCAATGCAGAACAGGAGGAGAGGCAAAGATAATGTTTGCCTCCGCAAATTTCAGTAGTTTTCAATAGATATCTAGCAAGGGCACCTCAGAGTTGGGGGAGAGGTAGCTGGAGAAAGCTCAAGATAATTCACATACTGGTCTCTGCCTTCTCCTCCTCAGGATTGTTTTTCTACCATTCTCGCTGCAAGATGGCACAAAGGGAGATGTCTAGCTCCAAGATCAGAGTACTGTCTCCAAACTGAGAAGGAAACCTGGGATCATATGTAGGATTGCAAAGATAATTGCAAAACTCCAGACAAAAACATAAATAAAAATAAGACATTTTTCTATGTCTTATGAAAGTAAACTCATAACTGCTGAAGACCAAAACTGTAACTCTTTCAGCACTGCCTATTCAATCTTTATCAGTCGCTAATAGAGAGACATTTACTAGAAAAGGTACTCATTTCATTTTTCATTTATCTGAATTGAACTGGGTTTCTTCCATTTTCTTTCATTATGAGTTTATTTGTGCTAGCCTTTCATTCATTTCCCAAGTGATTTCAATATGAAAACAAGATATAGCACTGCTAAATATAGCACTGGTTTTCTTCATCTGAGACAGAAAATTTTCAAATATTCTACTGCACCCCCATGACATCAGATGTGTCAGAGTCCAGACAGACTTGACAAAGGGTCCTTATTTTATAAACCATTAAGAAGGGCAAAGCTTAAGATTTTCCTCTGCACTGTTTTCAGAGGAGATCTGCCATTCTCTTGCACAGCTGTGCTTTATGCCCTATTGCCATGAGGTTTTCAGGGAAAAGAATAAGATCTGCTAAATGACAGATAAATAGAACAATGGATTCCTCATTTAGCAGAATTTTAAGTTTCATAAGCATATTATTTGCCATATAAACTTGGCAGAGCTATCCAGTCTCACTGCACCTTCTCTTTCCTCTCCTATAAATTTTCTGCGAACTGTGCCATGTGTTCAAGGCTACGGATACAATGCAAAGCAATGCCTTCATGGCAAAGTAAATTAAGAGGATGAAAACAAACTAGATCTGGTTCATTTAGTTCATCATTCATTTTTAGAACAAATGCACATATCTTTGAAATGGGAGATTTTAAAAAGCTTGACAGTATTGTATTGTATTTATGGCATTTGGTTGGCCATTGTAAGATGAGAATGATGGAAAAGACAGGTCTTTAGTTTGATCTAACACAACTCTTTTGACATTCTCATGTAAGCTATTTGACAAGTCTATCCAAAACAAATCATATGAGACCTGTTTAAAGACAGTAATAGTATATTTGAAAAATGTAAGGAAGTCTAGTGATGGCATGACTAAAATATAAACAAATAAAAAGGACTGCCCAGGTGCTTTAAAAAACTGGGTTTGTTTCAGAATCCTGCAGAATCCTGTAACAGATGGAACCTGCAACCTCTTGTTCTAAGGCAACAACTAAAAGGAACCCAGGGTACATACAAAAACCAAGATAAATATATTAAAAAGAAAGGAAAACGGTGTAAAAATGCTACTGGATCTTACCCCTGCAGAAACAGGAGTAAACTGCTTGTTAAAGTAAAAAACTAATTGACTTTCCTTACATGTTCAAAGGCTTATAACAAAGGGTGATCTAAAATTACTAAAATACTAAAAACTTTGCCATACTATATTAACTAACAATTTCTCAGTTTTCATCTCATAACCACCCTGTTCTATGATAGCAAGATAATGTGCAGTACCTTCCAGGTAACTGTAGCTCATATGATTGATCAGTACATATTTTTACTGGCAAAAGTAACTGGAATGGCAAGATACATTCTCTAAGATATTGCGCTTTCGCTGTGAGCAAGCAAAGAGAATCTAAATGATATCACTAACTGAAAGAATATTTACATTATTCTTCAGTAATAATTCTTATGAAAGCTTAAGGGAACAATCTTAAGGGATTGTTAAGGGAACAATTCTGTGCTTGTTTAAATAGGAAAAATCCTACAACTCTTTGCATTCCCCAGCCAGCTATGTCAGCTAATAAATACTCCATGTTGTAGGATTTTTTTCTGTCTAAATATGCATAGGACTGGACCTGAAAGTGGAACTCCAAGCTCATCAGCTTTTGACAAGAACTGTTGACAAACCCCTTCTCATTTAGAAACCAACACCTCTGTACTATGGGTCTGCTACATAAAAAGGCTGTTATATTACATCCTTCTACTTGAAGATGTCCCCCATTATGCCAAAGTTGCGTCACAAATAATTTGAATATATTATAATACAAACAAACAACTAATTGCCCCCAAAATTTCAAAGACATGTAAAACAATAAACCCACCTGTATGTTAGGCTTGGTATATATTTGCTCTGAAGCAAAATTGTTTAGCTGATCACACCAGTACTGTTTTGCACGATCAATAAGCTGGTGCTTTTCAGAAGAAGGTGGCACTACAACACCTTTTGTTGCCAAGTACTTGAAGATTATCTCTCGAAACACCTTCTTTCTCTTCAACAACTCTTCAGCACTTTGGCTGTACAGTAAGATAGCACTTATGGCTTCTGGAAATGAAATAAAAACAGAAGTAGAGCTATTGCTTGAATTCAGCAACAACACTGCCAAAAAAATATTTAAAGCATAAATATCAATCACCTGAAAAATCACAAAGATCATTTTGGAATAATCATTATGCATTGTGAAAATGTTGCCCCTTGCCTGTTTTCTCCCAAGCCAGGGAAACTTTGCCTTAGGAAAGGAGTGGCAGGTAGCGGAAGGCTCTCTCAATACAGGAGAAGCTCCACAGTGATGTGTTTGCTTTTGACATATGGTGTTTCCACTGGGAATCATGAGCTCAAGTAATCATATTCTGAGTCTACAGACTCAGTCTTTACTTTAAATATTGTTATAATACTGTATTTTCTCAACTCAATTTGGAAAAAAAGATTTAAACATTTAAAATTTGTTTTAAATATGATTTCCACTGACCAATATTTTTTCTGTCAAAAGAGTGCTGTTTTTGTAGGGAAAAAAACCCTAAGAGGCATTCTGAAACAGTCTGAACACTATAAGCAAATCCATTTTAACCAGGTAAAGAACATAGTAACACTGTAAATTATGTATGTACATACAACTGCAGTTGCATGTTCCTGTAATGTGCCCTTTATTGCCATTTGTAAAAGAGAAGCCTTCATTAGGCCAGGAGAAGCAAAATAACATGATTGAATAACAGCAGATCAGTGGAACATACTTAGACTTCCTTTTGCTTGCAATCAAAGACTAGAGGGTCAAAGCTGTTGTAGTACTAGCAATCAGAAGAAAACTGAGTGGAAAGGCAAGTGCACCTTGAGGCGTGCACAAAGAGTTAATGGCCCATTCTTAAAGGTAGGAGGCAGAAAGGCCTTAACTAGAGGTGCAGGAAGTTTTCTGTGATGTTCCATATGTGAAGCTGCACAGATGTCATGAACACCATTCACTTTACATATGCCCAAACACCTCAATTTCTACTTTCCTCCACTAAGCTTGTCACAAACGTTACATTATCACATACTTAAGTGACACTATTACCAACATAGCTGGATGAAATAATCAGTCAAGTAACAATAAGATACAATACAGCAAGGTTTTGTCATAATAGCTACTTTATTACTTAGACCTATTTAAGATAAACTTAAAGAGGCCAAAACTAAAATATATAGGAAAACATTTGTTGGCAAAATAAGGCATTGCTTTATTCAGGATTCCTACTCAAAAGAAGAACAAATGTAACATGTCTATATCATATTTAATTGGCAAATAGCTTTAGATAAATACATCTTTCAAATGATTACCAGCATCCCTCTCTGACAAAAGAAATTTAGATTAGTTATTAGTAAATTAGCTCAAGAACTCACTGAGTTAAAAATGTTTCAAAACTATGCTAAATAAAGCAAACGGCAACAAATCAGAACCAAATTTTCATTAGCACATAATTTGTGACAAACAGAACTCTTCCTTAAGGTACTTCTTCAAATGCACCTTCTCCAAATAATTTCTAACAATGACAGAAATGCTGGGTTCAAAGAAGGGGCAAGCATAATTTAGCCACAATATTTCTATGAATGCAACAGACTAGCCCAGGAGTTCTCAAACTTTCCACCGGGAGGCAGTTGAAACCTACTGGTGCTGGGCACAGTCTGGAAAGGTGGTGCCGGCAGTGTGCGTGGGTCGGTGCGGGGGTGGCACGTGCAGGTGCACGCAGTGAAGGGAGGTGAGGTGCAGGCAGGCGCACGTCCTGAGGCAGGCACACCAGCGAGCAAACCGCTGCCTCCCTGAAAACTGCTGCATGCGCGCAGCGGGTCCAAATGGGCATGGCGGGCCAGATCCGGTCCCTGGGCCATAGATTGAGGACCCATGGACTAGCCCCTTTTTAAGTTGAATAATAACTTGTGTTGTTGTTGTTTACAAAAGAAATACCTGCTGTACCTAAATTGCACACAGATTCTTGCACCTTTTTCATGCAACTGTTTAAAAAACGTTCAAAGAAACAGAATGGAATATACAGCCATTTTTAAGATATCAAAAGAATAAACAAAATAGCTGCCCTTATTCTCTGACTGCACAAATCTCAATATTGGACAAATATAACAGTATCCAACAGTGTACTACCACCAACAAAATCAGTGATGCTGTGCTAGCATAAAATTTTTCTAGCACAATGCCAATAATGCTCAGCGCTGCAATGAGAATTCCAAGAAATCCTGTTGCACCAGCAAGCACTTTTGGCATTGTGCTAAAAAGAGTGCATGCTACTGCAATGTCATTTATGCTACTGACACTGCAGTGCTGAAAACTATCCAGCATCTTTTTAACAAAGAGTAGTAAGTTGCAACAATCTTTCCTCAATCATCCTGTGGTAAAAGTTATGAGTCACCATCCAAAGATATCCCATTTCAAGTCAGCTTTAGACTGCTTTGTCACAAACAGCGGCTGCTAAGTTCTGCAATGGAGAATGCTTTTCAAGGGACAATGCACTTCAGAAGGACTCTGTTATACAACATAAAGATCTACAAGGGGAGAGAGTAAGAAAAAAGGATGACACTGGGTTTTGTACAGCTCTGCGAGTTGAAATCAGGGTTATGTTCAAATGATGAGAGTTACTAGAAGGGGTTCTATATACCCCTTCTAGTAACTCAACAGGGGAAAAAGTAGCATAACAGAAGCTCAATACACAATCACAGCAGAGCGCATCAGCATGCATCATTAGCTGGCAGTTGCCACAGTTAGGATTTTGTTAGTGGTGTCCCCACACCTTTAGAATACACTTGCTTATAATATATGCATGATTTCATCAGAGCTGGCTTTAAAAAAATCTTAAAGACACATATTTGTCAGCATGTGGTGCTTAAGAATCATTAGCTACTACTGAATGCAAGTGTTTAATTGTAATTGTACATGCATGATTTTGTAATACTTCAAGCACAGATAGCATGCCATCAAAGGAAACTTTAAAATCTTTTAGGATGCAATTCTATGCAAGTTTCGATAGGAGAAAAGTCCTCCAAGTCCCAGCCAGGCATGGTGGGAGTTGAAGGGTTTATCTGTCGAAACAGTCAAGATATTACATCAATCAATCAATCAGCGTTCTTCTAAGCAAACAACTACCTTCCACACGAGGAGACAGGCAACGCTGGCTCCGCCCAAAGCCTTACTGACTCACCAGCACGTCCCCGCCTTCTTCCGGGTGGCGGGGCTCCTATAACCTTTGGATACTGGATCCCGCCGTAAGGGGGGGGCGGGGTGGCTAAGGTAGCCGCTCTGCAGGGCCTAGCCGTCGCCTTCGTGATCGGCGAAAAGAGCCTCCTCTTCCCGCTGATCCAAGAGTCCGTGGGCCCTGACCCTTCCGTATCTTACCTCGGCGGTTGTCAGGCTGCACGAGGCGGTTGGTCACGGTGTCCGTGAGCGCCAGCAGGTCGTTGGTCTGGAGCAGCTCCAGCAGCTCCCGGCAGCCGTCCCGCTCGCGCTCGGTCATTCCCGCCCCAGCCGAAGCCATTACGATGGTGGAGCTCGGGGGCGCTGCCGCTGCGAGCGCGAGACCGGCGGGGACACACGCGCGCACCGACCCTCCTGCTCCGTGCCCACGCACGACAGACCCGGAAACCTTGGCAACCGAGCGGCGCTGGACGAGACAGCGCCACTTCCGCCTCTTGTGTGTTCTTTTAAAGAGCCGCCCGCTGCCCCAGCCCGGCCTGGCTTATCCGATTCGCTAATTCGCCACGGTGAGGGTGCAAGCCTCACTGTTCCGGCTTCGAACAGGGCCGTCGGATAGCGTTCCGTTGGTTTTTGGGAATGCTGCTCTGGGTTGATTTAGTCCAATCGTTCTCCATAACTGCTTCAGTGCGTGGAACTGCTCTTACGGGCAGAGAATGACGCTAGAGAGAAAATTGCTCAGGAAACGTTAAGCAGGTTTTGTTAGTTTCAAGGCAGGTTTTTTAAATCGTTCACAATATTGGCAGAACGGATTGAGGCAAGGTTCCTTTGTTGCCCCGGTAAATTACATTTCCACAAATGGAATTTGCAAAAGAAAGCTTCAGAAGGAAGTGGTTTTTTGTTTGTTTTTTGAGAGAGAAAGAGCCAGCCAAGCTTTTTCCGAAGATAGCTCCATTCTGTGCTCTATCATATTTCACAGCAGAACTTACTGGACTGTTTCCAACATTAGTTGTGCTTATGCAAACGCTGCGTTTCCTCCAGATTACCTGAACGTCCTTCTGGTGAGTAGATGATTCTGTTCTGGGCTTCATGCGATTTGGCACTCAGAAAATGGGCTCGCTAAATAGCAACAGATCTCAAATTGGTTCCTTTTTTCACTTCTTGCGGTCCGCGAAAGTCTGATAACCACCGTACTTTCACAACCAGAAGCAGGGTAAACGGTGAAACTGATAAGAAACTTTTAAAAGCTGATAGTCGTTAATATTTTTCGTAAGATTTTGCGCACAGAAACAGACATAGCCATTCCGTTAAAATAATAATAATAATAGAAGCCTACTATAAAGAAAAGTTATGTGCTTTGGTTTGCAGAACAACAAATTGCCCCCAACAATGTTCTGACATTTGGGAGAAGGCGAAAACAGTTTCAGAACTGCTGGTGCACAGGATTCTTGCTTCTCACTTCGTCTCCACGGACACCCTGGCACTGTATACTTCAGTGAGAAAAAAAAGTCCAGAAGCACAACTATTAGTCTGTTGCAATACCAAGTCTTGTGGCATCAGCTGAATCGATTTCTTACAGAATAAGACTCTGAAAACTCCAGAGTAACATCATGTAATGCTAGTGTGACTACACTTTGACATTACATGCTTCCTTCTCTATACATAACCTCTCAAGGCAGCGGCTTTTGTGTATGTAATGCTTTGCAGATCTGTTGAATTGTACTCTGCCTGCCCAAAAGCTGGTACCATCATAGATGTTCTTCTTGCAGGTGATGGACTTGGTTACTGCTCAGCAGGATCAAGAGGAGGCAAACCAAGCGGAATCATACTGATGAACTGCCTAGGCTAGAAGCCTGTAAACACCATGCCCAACTAGATTTCTGGTTGGTAGACATTCCATAGACATGAGTATATCTCGGCAAATGGTATCTTATGGCACTTGTTCCTTTTGACCTATCATAAGCCTGGAGGGAACTCTTTTCGGGAAAGGAAATTTAACATATTCAGGTAAAGAAATGGGGTAGAAAAAATTTAAAAGAATACTGTGTTGGTTCTGTAATTTTCAAAGTAGCACAACTTGTTGCCAGTTCTGACTCAACATTGTTATGCCACAATATATAGACCACTAATTTGGTTCTGAAGCCAGTCTTGAGATGCTCAAGGAAGAAAAATGACAATTTTCCAGGCAGTGGACTTTTGTCTTATTAAAATATGCAGCCTTCCCTTTATTCTTGCTGATACCAGCATAGAAATAACATAAAAGCCAACATATCTGACCTGACATCTTTTGAATGGAAAATACAACTCGTAGTTGTATTTTCGCTGTCAGAGAAAGAGGTACTAGTAGGATTTTCTGTTTCGGGGGAAAAATAGCTTTACTGATTTTGAGTACTGTGCACTTAGAAGTTGTGAGGTGCCATTTGTTGCCCTTCCTAAGGCAGCAAAATATTTTTGTGTCCAGCCCAGGACATCCCTAGAAAGACTTGTGGGATGGGGAAAAGAAGCTGAGATGTTGTAAGAAATTATGTGGGGTAAAGGAATACCTATGAAAACATGATCAGGATCATATCAAACTTATTGCCTACCTCTAAATAAGCATAAGTTTGATAAGCCATACCAAGTTCAGTTGGATTTACTCCAAGTGTAGGTCTAGAATCTCACTTCATATGTTCAGACCTGTAATTTGAATATAGTTCCAAGATTTAGATCTAAAGAGAAACCCAGGGATCACACATTCTGGTAATTTTGAAATGTCAACAGTTAAAGCCAGTGTGCAGTCAAGTGTTGTACTATGACTTGGGATATCCAGATTCTGGCCCCCATTCAGCCATGAAGCTTACAGGGTGATTTTTGGGCCAGTTCTCGATTCTCAACCTCCCTCCCTCAGTGTGAAAATAGAAATTTTGTAAACCACCTTGGGTTCCATAGAGAAATAAAAACCCCAAATCCATAGTTTGGCCATACTTTATTTCAGGAATTTTTATTGTCCAGCTATGCATTCTGATATGATGAGGTTGCTAGTAACATAGCATTTGTTACTGATCTTAGGACTTCCAGAAATTAGAACTCAAAAACTGTAAGAAAGTGAGAATTACAGGTATTACCATAAGGCACCATTTTTGGCAGCCCCCTTTCTACCTTCTTACCCAGTCCAGAGACCAGAAGTTGCAAAACAGCCTTCTCCAGTCCTGAGGTCTCTGCAAGTGCTGTTGTGTGGGAGACAGAGCAAATGGGAGATTTTCTCAGAAATTCCACTATACTTAATGAGGGTTACTCCTAATAAATGTGTAAGTTTGCAACTTAAGAGCATAAGGTTCTTGTTGTCTACAGTACATTGCCACAATCTCCCTTGCCAGTGTGCCAATGTTCAGTTTGCAATTAATTGGGAAATGATTAATGTTCCATACAGTGCTTTGCTAGTCCTAGGCTCTATCCTTAATCTGGATTTGAGCCTGAAAGACTAGGAAAAAGTGTGGGGACATAGAGAGTAAGTGTGAAGCAAGCACAATTTGGGACATTGCACAGTTCTGTCCTGAAAGCAGGCAAGAAATTAATTAGTTTGTCTTCTGTAAAATTTACATCATACTTATTCTTAAGCATGTACATGTACAAATTAACATATTATTTAGTCCACAGAACATTTTGCAAACTATAAAAAGTACATGTACATTTATGCAAGTCTCTTCCATACTTGGCACCACTCCTAAGCAAAAGGAATGAAGTAAGGAACACATCCTTTTTCAAGCTGATGATCAAGGTATATGAAGGCACTGAACTGCAATAAAGCACAAAGATTTTGGCAACAACAGAACTAACATCCCAAAGTTATGGCAATAGGTCAAGCACTTGAGAAGAATCTCAGAATATAGAAAAGAATGGGAAAGAAAAACAGAGAAGCCAGAATTCCACTGCAGCGCTTCATCTATTACCTGTTTTTATCGTTATCTGGTCAGAATTTCCATACCATACTTTTTAAGCAATGCCCTGGGCTTTAAGATGCATAGTTTTGTGTGGATGTTATATAGAACAATGTGATAGGTGCTACTGTTGTCTAGCAATGATGTAACTAATCTAGTCCAGTATTTCCTAGGTAATTCCAGAGACCATGAAATTGTATTTAATAACAGACAATATTTTATTGAACAATTCTATTTACAATACAAAAAGTTTCAAATGAAATACCACTGTTGATTTATTGCAGTTTGATGGCTCAGTTTTAATTTGTACTCATATAAAATGCAAAATAAAATAATTTAACATTCAAGAAGGAAGCACAAATTTCCTTACTTGCTGAACCTGTAATAGCTTTTACAAATTAAACTTAAGAGTCCCAAAATGCACACACTGCATTTAATCAAGGTGTTGTACAGTACAAAATAAATTAAAAAACACCCCTTTAAGAATTTCATCCTACACCTTGGTATTAAACAAGGAGGTTTGGGTGAATCCTTCTTGTTAAACATGATCCGAACTATACAATTTCTAGATGTTTTGTGAATATGGCTAAACCAAAGTACCAGTGACCTTTCCCACACATCGCCAAACAAATAAATTGTAGAGGCAGTTTACTCACAGAGCAATCCTTGATTTTTTTGTAACTTCCACTGTGAACCAAATATGTAACATAAACCTGGGAATGCCCTTTTAAGAAGTCTTTCAAATGCTACCAAGGCTATGACTCAAAATACTAACAGGTGGGGGTAGTGCAGGATCCATTTTAGGCACTAAGGGTTATCCTAAAAGGAAACAGAAAAGAAAGAAAAACCTTTGAGAACTAGCATGTAGCTGGGGTAAGACTGAATGGAGATCTCCGAAATAGTGCTGTTTTTCCATGTCTAGTCACATGTAGACATTAGACATTCCATTAGAAAAGATTACATCAGTGATGCAATGTGCTACTTGTCTAACCACCTGGGATGAGTGAAAATAGCCCATGTTGCCACTAGTTTTCCAGCTAGCAAAACATGCTACAACAATATGGGAACTGTGCTGTCTTTTTTAGGCTTTACTTAAGACTAGAAGAGCCATGAGTTCAGTGGCAGCACTACTGTGGCCTTGGCACTCTTGTTCTTTTCTGACATTAAGAAGGAAGAGAGAAAAAAGACCGGTATCTGTGACCGATGCATATTTCCAATTGTTAAAACTAAACATAATGACAGCTAGAGTCTTGTATGCTGTCTTGGCAAAGAAGGAGGGAACAAGCTGCTTATGAAACACAGCACTGCAGAAGGCAGGAAATAACCCCATAAAGCAGGGGCAGGAATGTGTGGCCCTCCAGCTGTTTTTCACCAGAAACCCCATCATTCCTTATCATTAGCTATACAAGCTAGGGCTAGCCCAACATCATCTGGGGTGATCACACATTCTCTACCACCAGCATAAGAACTCAATCAAATGCTAAAATGTTCCATTACCCTAACTCAGCAGCTCTGAAAAATTTAGGCTGAATACATGCACATAACTTTAGGCATACATGCTTCAAAATTGTGAACAAATACTTGGTTGTGACAGTCTTATCTTAACACCTAGCATGTGAATGACCAAACAGCTATTAAGCAATCCTTGGACCAAAAATAAAAATTCCAAGAAGTTCAAACTGGACCACCAAAATGGTGGAGGGAAGAAATTTTTCCCTAAGCTTCTGATGGCTTCATCCTTCACAATTTAAAATACAGCTCCATGATAACCGAATGGATGACTCCAGTTTTTTTCCTGGAACATCTCCTAATTTAATATGGGCAAACAGGCAGTTCACAGGAAGTCATCCACATGACTTTCCTCCAGTCCCAGTTGAAACAGAAACAATCTATCTTAATAACCAACAAAATCTCAAGATGCTTATAACCAGGCAAAGAACCAGCAAGTGTTGCAAAATTAGGAGTGGCCCAATGGCTTTAGTGAATGGCTTGCTAATCTACTCAGTTCTGGGCACTGTAGCATCAGCTTTAATACTTAAAATTAATTGGAAATATTTTGAAATTAACCCAGTATAAAATGTCTGAAAACCGTAACATTCATACTTGTGTGCTAGCGTTCCTTTCTGTAATGTGATTCTTTTTTTAATGCAAGCAATACTGTGTTGTCCTAACAGTGAAACCATTTCTATAACCTATCATAAGCACTTGTGTGATGGCATAGCACATTATATCAGTAATATAACCTCAAGTGATATTCATTTAAAGGGTTTCTCCTAAAACTGTTTCATACACAGGCCTAGGAAACCAAATGAGACCGAATCATCATTTTGTAGCAGGATAAGCATTTTTTATTTTTTTATATAATTTTTTTGCATTTCTGTTAAATGTCACCTACTGCTATTTTATGATTGACTTTACTCATTTTAGAAAATAAATTTATTTATTGGAAGCAACTTATTCCTGAGGAAAGGCTTATAACTACACCCCAGTTTTTGGAGGCCCTAACAGATGGTGATGCACAGAAGTCAAGTGCATTCAAATAATTTCAACCTGAAAAGGTTCACACCCAGAAAATCCAGCCCAGAGCAGATTAAAATTATGATCAGAGCTACAGGAGTCACAAAAGCCAGAATAAAATGCACTGCAGAATACAGAAAAGCATGTCCAAAAATGCACAAGGACTTCTATTTGTACAATGGAATTTTATTTTCCTCTCCTCCCCTCTGTAGCATCCTGTGCCCCCAATCCCACCTCAAACCTGCTTTGAAGAATATGTCCACCCTCTGAAGAAAATTTGGAGGCTAATGGGACACTGCAGTGGGAATCTATTCCACTGACATATATGGTTCTGTCAGGGAGCATGCTAGTTTGATACCACCCACTAATATTGTTTTCTTTTTATCTCACAAATACTCATAAATGTATGTGATTCCACTGAAGCAGACTTCCAGGTTTTCAGACACAGGATTAATATTCTTCTACTTAGATGCAGAACAAGCAATGAAACTTAAACATGGCCAAAATATACAGAATATTAAGGGAAATCTGAATATGAATATGATTGAAAATTGAGAATACTGTTTAATTTAGACAGAAACCCAATTTGATGCAATGAACAGATACTTTAAAGCTGTTTATGGTACCAAGAAAGTACCAACTCAACCACAGTTAAAGATTAAGATCTTGCAATGACTCCCATTTAAAACAAAATATGAACTTTTATTAAGAAATTCTGCTTAAATTACAGGGCCACAAATATACAAAAAAATATTATTTTGGATCTGCAATGACCTCAGTGGTAAAAAGAGAAACCAAGTACCATGTTTGTGCAATTCTGTTTGAGATTCTCTCCATGCAAAGGTAAATTTAAATAAAATATTTAAGTTTGCATGATGACTACAAGTCACAGAAATCTGCTTTTCTTCTAACAATCTGGGCTATTCTGGTGCTGAATTCTGATATTTTAAATATGCACTCAAATGTGCAGGAGTATTAGAAGTGTCCTTTGGTGTCCAAGACATCAAGATTTAAAAGTGGTTAAGTATCGTTTTAATGTGTTGCAAGCATATTTATGATCATAATTCTATAGTTATTTCTACAGGTAAAGTTGGTGGTTTGTTTGTTGTTGTTTTTTAAATAAAGAACACTCATACTACCTTGTACCCTATGAATGAGAAGGAAAAGTAACTACCTGACTTGAAAATAAGAAAGAATAAGGAATCAATTTATGCCTGCAACCCTATATCCACTTACCTGGGAGTAAGCCACATTGAACTTCTGAGTAAACATGTATAAGATTGTGCTGTGTCAAAAATTGTGTTCACAGCTCACATAATACAACTGTTCCATTTTTAAAATATGTAATTCCAGCCTAATGAATGTACTCAAATCCAGTTTGGAAAAAATGGTTCTTAATATGATACTAAGAGAAGAGTCACTTGGACCTTTAGGAATTTGAATGCTGTCTTTATACATACATTAGGAGTGAGGGGGTTAAAGCTTCACCTCTCAAGGCACAGTACGAGTCATTCTTACAGGCATTCAGTTGGCTACAGAAATTAGTGTACTAGAATTTATTTTTATCACTGAATTTTGTGAAGCAATAGATTTTATGAGAATATTTCAGAATAAAAAGCATCAGTGAAAATCCAGTGATATTTTCCTATATTGATACAATATGGGTATAATTTTTCTATTTTTCTTTTCTTTTTTTTAGCCAGGTATTTTATTCTTAGTATCTCATGATCAACTTTGCATCTTGTGGGACCTTCTTCCCTTCATTTCATAAAGGAAACCAGCCTTTAAAAAGTATGAAACTGCCAAAGAATTATAATTAAAATGAAGTTTTATACTCCAAGTGCAGCTGCCTTTACATCATGTACATTTACTGGAGAGCCTCAAATTGCATGCTGAATACAAGATATTCAGGCTGTATTAATTTGTTAGTTTTCATTGTGCCTGCATTCTTTCTGGATGTCCTCCATGAGTCAAATACTGAAAAAATTAACATTGGTGCATTTGAATGTAGCTTAATTACTTGTGTTCAGAAATATCAGCCTGACATGCTTCCAACCTTACTGCATGCCTTAATTTTTTTACCAAGACACACTGCCCATTTCTGATTTTGTTACATTCATTTGTTCTTTTTCCAAAGTACAAGATATACCAATGCTAAGAATAATCAACCTCTACAAACACATCATCTTTTAACTGAGCAAATTGTTATGCACAGTGACATTTAATATAATGACTCAAACTAGTTTTTATAATGTGGACAGGCTTCCTTTGGGCATGGACAACCAAAAAGAGGTTTGTACCACTTCATTTCTCTCTAGGGCAATAGGTACCAATTGGCTTGAGAGCCATTTAGTATGTTGCTGCACTTTGAACTTACTCACACAGGGACTTCATGTGGGAACGTGTAGCTTCTTGGATAACTGGTACTTTGGGGGCTTCAACACAGTTCTTTTCTGGATTCAAATTCTGCACAGTTCCTACTACCACTTAGCTCTGACCAAAGTGTGCTTTGACTCTAAGCAAGGTCAGATTTTCTTTAGTAATTTTAGACTTCTTTATAATTAAGGCCAACAAGGGAAAAGCAAACTGATGCAGAATAGTGTAGTGTTCCATCACGCTACTCCTCAAACTGAGAAGTCTTCTTACAACATTTGATCAGGCACCTGTAAAAAGAGTAGTGTTAGTTAGTACTCTAGATTTCTTTTCTATACTGCAGTTGTTATTTGATAAATCTGAAGCACAGTCTTAAAAGGGCATGCCAACTAAATTGCTATGCTATATCACAGACCAAATCATAAACCTACGTTCAAATACTTGCTTCTTTTCTGAACAAAATTAAAGTGGACTGAGATGAACAACAGCTCAGAGAACATAGCAAAATATGTATGAATCTGCTCTTATTTAATATGTATAGTACATAATAAAGTAAATGTGGAACCAGTCTCATACATGTCATCTGTGTGTTTTTTAATAGATAGGCAATCTTTCCTTCAAGCTTAATGCATGAAGGGCATTCTTCCCAAGCTATTTTTGGTTAACTGTAAGAACTGATGAGACACAAAAAAAAAGGGTATGCAGACCCAAGCTGCAGAATTTTCTGTAGATAAAACCATCACTAACTGAAACAACCTCAAGTCCTAAAATTGCTGAATTCCTGGCATGATATACTTGCAGTCATAAAACTGCCAGGAGAAGGGGCACCACATTATATAACAGCTATTATCTTCAGATGGGTACAGCAGTATCCCTGTGCATGATATGGAAGATACACAACTGAGAGTATGAATGATATTTATTAGAGCTAAATCTGAAGTATTCTAACCTTAAATGTAATTCTAACCTTAGATGAAACTTCCACAATTGCTTGATTATTCAGGTGCAGTACAGAACTGCAAACCAACTTGCTAGGTTGCAAACCTGGTTTGGCAGAACTCAGCACACCAAATGAATGTCATCTTTTTAGGTCATATGGCTAGCCAACCAGTCAGCTACCACTTCAGTCATATCAGAGTTTCAGTCACTTACAGACAGAATCTAAAGTGATGTGCAAAGAATAAAAACAAAGGACTCTGCAAATCACCTTGTACAGCAAGGATGGGCAGCTTGTAGCCCTCCAGGCAGTTTAGTCTACAACTCTCATCAACCTTCACCACTAGCTACATGGGCTAGGGCTGAGAGAGGTGTATCAAAACATCTGGAAGACCACAAGTTGCCCATCCCTGCTGTATGGAATAACTTAAACGGAAGATGGTCGATTATCCACATTTCCCTGACACTTCCATTGAGCCATTGAAGACTAGCTCCTAAATCTGCCTGATCCAGCAATAACTTGGGTAACAAATACAGTAAACAGTGTCAAAGATAGTTCAAAGCTTACTAAAATCAGTGTAGAATGGTGGTTAGGGTGTTGGACTAGAGACCTGGAATATAGACCTCACTTAACCATTAAGCTCACTAGGTGACTTTGGGCCAGTCACTCTCAAACTAACCTACCTCACAGGATAGTAGGATAAAATGGAATTGTGTAAGCCACCTTGGGTTCCTAACAAGGGGAAAAAAGGTAGGATATAAATTCAATACAATGATGCTGATTTTTGGGGGTTTTTTTGTTTCGATCAAGCTCAAATGTAGTTCCTAAAGCAAACTAGCATAGAACAGGTCATTGCCATTTAATATATTAGAATTTTATCACATTTGTCCAAATTTGGATTTTTTTTTTGTCCTTAAATGCATTTGTAGCATTTGTTTTTAACCTTTGTCTAACTGTAGATGGTTTGGATGATCTCATCTTAATTTACATACAAGAGCAAAGTAATGTTACAATACTTACTTTCATCATCTGAATCAAATCCAAAGAGTGGCCGACACTTCTTTTGTGCAAGGTGAAGCTGAAGTGCTTCTGAATTACAGTAGGTGGTCAGGCATTTGCTGCATCTTAATCTCTCAGATTTGCTACAAGTTTTATCTTGCTCTGAATGGACATCTACTTTGTCAGTCAACGTTTTTCTTCGTTTTGGCATACTAATGTATCGTTCATCAAGGTAACTTGGAGGCAATGGTCTAACATAAGGCTTTGTTAAAATTAAGCCATATGAAGTATTTTCTGCTATCTGATTTGATTTGGAAGATGACTGAGAGATTACAGCAAGACTGTTTGGTGGCGTATCAGTACAATTCTGTAAAATAGGTAGAATGCATCCATTTTCTGTCCTTGTACTGTCAGTCACTCTTTCCAAATCAGCATCCAGTGAAGTTGATGTAGTCTGTTCTAGTTCACCATGCCCATTAACCAATTGGTCACCAACTTTACAGTTCTCCAGATTTGGCTGTACTGCAGGTATCTTTTGGTCTATCAAGTTCACAATTGTAGCAGCATTATCACATGCATTTTCATTACCATTCTGAATTAGACTACTTGTTTTTTTCTCACTCTGGATGTAAGTCTTTGGTTCTGTGGAATCCTTCCTTGCTTTCCAAGTTGGAATTGGCAAGTCTATTACACTCTCCTTTTCACTGCTACTGCTTCCTTTTTCTTGGATGCTACACTGGGATTCCAAAACAATATCTGAAGAATTATTTTCACTGCCTTCTTCAGAAGGATCCTTTTTGTTTGAATAATGTTGAGCCTCATGCTCATACAGCAATGAAAGATCACCAAAAAGCTTGCAGCACTCTGAAAAGTTACACTGAGCTTTAAATTCACTGTGACTTTTTATATGCTCTGCAAGCTCAGTGGACAGCTTAAATCTCTGGTTACAGTTAAAATGTAAACAAAAATATACATTTGGATAAACATGTTGCTTTAAATGATCAATAAAATGTTGAGAATCTAAAAATTTTCTCTGACAAAACCGACATTTTCCTTTATTCCATTTCATGATGTGCTCTTGCACCTTAAGATCAGTGGGATGAGCTTTCCTTGCATGTTTGTTCAGAAACCGTATCTTTTTAAAAATTCGAATACAGCCATTAGCGGGACACTTAAAATTACCTGCTTGGTCCATAATGTCCAAGTCATTTTGAGGGCTTAATGCACCATTTACTTTATGAAGAATAGGGAACTCTTTATTCATGCTGCTATCACTGTCTGGCAATCCTCCTGTAACTTCTGTTTTAGGTGTCTTTGAACAGTTATCGCAACTTCCATTTTCAATAATGTTATCCTGGTAAGTTACATGATTTTCAGTCACATCCAATGTGAATTTAGAATTCTGCATCTTTTCATCAATACTTGGAATGACAGCTTCTACTTTGTTATCTTTTGAGCTCTCCAAGTTCCCATTTTCAAGAGAGATGTCTGCATCAGAACAATTTATTTTATTTACATCAGGGGTTTCCTGATCTTGACAGGTAGCAGCAAGATGATGCCTTGTCATCTTCTTGATGTGATTTTTTAAGTGCTTAAGCATTATTCCTTTTTGCCTGAATTTTCTGCGACACATTACACATGAAAAACTACCCTTTTTCTGATGAGCCTGTGCATGCCTCACAATGTGACCACCAAGAAATTCCCTGTTACACAATACACAACGATGCCTTGGTACATTGTGATCAACTTTAGATGAACCAAGAACTACATGGTTCTTTCTGGAACTACCATGACATTTCAAATGAGTTCCAGAAGTATCTTCATGGTCTAGTTCTCCATTGTTTACATCAGATGCACATGCTTGATCACGCAACACTCGACGTGTCTTCAGAGTATTTGCAGAAGAATGCTCCAGTGTACTGTCACTCAAGTCAACTGATGCTTTGTCTCTTAGCAAAGCTAAACAGTTCTGCTTGATCATCAAGAAATTCCAGAACTCAGGATCAAAGAATAATCCCTTTTTCAAAATTGGAAGCAACTCAAAACGAACACGATTCTGAACAGAACTAGTTTGTTCATTGTATTCTTCATCTGCACATTTATATAAATGTTCAACAGTGTGATAGGACTCCAAGGTGCGCTCAAGAAAGAAGATAGAAAGAGCACATGTTCTGACAATCTCCAAGTCATTTGGCAAAAAATGAGCAATGGTTTTGTATATCAGACATTTCATTTTTGGATCATCACGGAGATCCAGCTGGAGAGCACTTCCACATATCTCAACACAAATCTGCAGACCTTCTTTGCCAATCTATGGAAAAGAAAGCAGTTACACAGTATATCCCACCAACACATTTTAAACCCAAAATATAAAGGCAATCCAGTTTACTATCAGTCACTAGACAGCTAGAAAAGGGCTATAGCTCAGTGGCAAATGTGTTTTGTATTTAAAAGAGCCCAGGTTCAATCCCTGGCATTTTCAGGTAGAGCTTGGAAAAACCTGGGTCTTAAATACTGAACAGATGGCTGCTAGGCAATATAGATAATACTGAGCTCAATAGATCAACGATTTGACTTCCAATACAGTGGTACCTTGGCTCATGAATTTAATCCGTTCCATGACTCTGGTCATGTCCCAAATTGATCGTGAGCCAAGTCAAATGTCCCCATAAGGTTCAGTGTAAATAAGATTAATCAGGTCTGCAACTATTTTTTATCACAAAAATTTGAAGCAAAGTGACAAAGAACAACAAAGATCACGGCCATCTCCCCCCTGCCCCCACCACCACAGCATGACCATGATCGGGCCTGTCTTCCCTGCAGGATTGCGTTCACAGCCATAGATGGGCGCACTCACAGGCACATGGGGCAGGGGGGAGACAGGCACACTTGCAGGCGTGCTTGGGGGGGAGACAGGCGCGATCGTCACCTGATGCAGAGTTTGTGACCTGAGTAAAAACGTTTCTTAAATTTCTGTTCGCAACCCGATTTGGTCATGAACTGAGGCATTCGTGAGCCGAGGTACCACTGTATATAGAAACAACTATAAAGAGGAGTCTGAAAGTGCCAGTTTAGTTGTTTCTGTAATTTCAAATTTGTTCCACCTAAAGAGTGATTCTGTATGTTTGTGGCAAGTCACTTTTTCCCTGCATATTTACACAGTAGCAAATTAGGATGAGCAAGTAGGGAGAGATGAGAATACAGAAATCAGCACGTCATCTTCCTTTCTACAATCAACACAATCTTTTTTCTACAGATCGTTACTTTGCAAGTTGTGCTTCTCCAGGTGTTTTGGCCTACAGCACCCGTTATCCATCATCACAGACAATACTGGCTAGGGTTGACTGATGTTTCCAGATGCTAATGCCTATAAACTGTCCATCACTGCTTTACTGGATAAAAACTTTCAATGGGCAGCAGCTCTCTCAATTGCAGAATCTAACATTTGGCTCCTACTCCCTGGATACAGTAAAAGCAAGCTTCAAAGATGTTTCTGAAATACATGTTGTTCTTACAACCCTGTACAGAAATATTACAAACTATGTATAAGGGTTAATTAAGAATAAGGAAAAAATATGAGTACCTGAAAAACTGACCACTAAAAAGGGTGACAAGGCTAACACAACAAAAACCAAAGTGGTTTACAAGCCATGAGTTGTCACGCTGTCCAAACCCAGCAGCCTAACTTGTTAACTATGCCCAAGCCACTCTGGCTGACTTCAGAAAACTTGACAAGCCACTTGACAAACATGGCTGACAGTTCACCCTGAGATATTGCATTGTGCAAATCTAATCAATGGGAAACTGATCAATTTGAAGTAGATTTATAAACCACTTTGCACAGCCCATGTCTCATTCAGTATAAACATAATGGCCAAGTTCAGACAATATGCCTTATTTGTTTGTTTAAAACATTTCTATATTATGCCTACAGCCAGTTGTCTTTCTGGATGATTTATAAACATTTAAAATGTTACAAAATCCAGTGTCACAGTAAGATAAAAGCAAGAACAATTTCACAACCGTAGTCAATAAAAATGAAGTATAAAATAACGGTAAAGAACAGAATATAAAACCAATAACAATAAATAAATAAATAAATAAATAATCTATGGTGTCACAGTAAAACCTAAATTTTCAACAATTAAAACACTGAGAAAATTAAAAGAATTTGGCCTGGTATGGAAAGATGTAGAGTGTCAGTGCCAGGCACACCTCCCTGGGAAGTTGGTTTAATAACCCATGACAAAGTATAACTTGTCATGGGTTATTTAACCTACCGTGACCTACAATGTCTCCAAGAGCTGCACAGTTAATGTCATGCTGTATGATCCTACAAAGTGACATTATGCAAGGGATGTTTATCGCTTGCCCAATTTTCACAATACCACAACCCCTGAGTGCGGCTTGCACATTCCAAGTGGTGGCTGCACATGCCCCACATATACCACAGCCTCACTGTGGGTTAACTCATGATGTACTGTCAATGTTGTGCAAACAACCCTAATATTTAACCATGCTCAAAGCAGTCTCCCAGCTTCTCCACATGCAAACTGGAAAGGACTTTAAGCTAAAGTATGATCTTACAGTATGTTCTGGACGTAAGAATTAAATCAACAAACAGTGGTTAGCATTAACCATGATTAAGAATTATATCTGCACTAGTCCAATATCAAATTTTCATAATTAAAGGTTATTTGGATAAACAATGTCTCTATATTGTTTCTTCAAATTATGTTCAATAACGCATCTATATTCTTTAAACAATAAATTATCAATTCCAGGAATAAGAAATAGTTTAAAACATATGTAAAGAAATAAGATACCATTACTTACTTCATCTCTAATAACTTTCATGAAAGGGAAAATAACCCTTATGTTTGTAGCTATCCTTAGAAGGTGATAGCACTGATCTACAAATACTTGCTTTGATGGATTACACTTAAGCTGCAATTTACTCCAAATAAAGATCAGCTCCCTGTAAAGACATCAAATGGCTTATTAGTATACGATTTAAACAGAGTACCTTCGCAAGTATACATGATAGAAAGACTAATGCTTCTACAATGCATAAGGCAGTGTTATAAAACCAACCAGAAAAACCTCAGCATTGTAATCAATTCATACTGTACTGTTCTATAAAAAGTTTTGGAACAAATAAAACAGCATTCCTTGGTCAAAGAATTCCATACAACTGTCAGCAGAATTTGGGTACCCAAAAATAAATAAATGATCGATTTCACTTTTATGAGGTAAGTGAAAACAGCTTTCAATGGTTAGAAATAACCTTTTGCTTCCAAGGGTTTTGACATGACTGGGACAGCAATCTTAAGCACGCCTCCTTGGAATTGTCCCTGTAGTTCACTATGTGAGCGAGAAGTGTTTCAGTTGTCCATAATCTCTTGAAAACAAAGTCTACTAAATTTGAATAATGATTTGCTCTAAAACTTATTTTTATCCTTATAGCTTCAACCAATAATGTCTGGGAAGAAGTAATCATTTTTTTATAAAAGGTAAGTACACAATCATTTTATAGACCATACTTATTTGATTAGGTGACATTAACAGAATACAATGTAATTTCTAAAGTATGTTACCAAAAAGAATATTATGTAAAAAAGCTAGAGGTAGGTCTGAAAGGAATTAATCTTAGCCATCTGAAAGTATTCACTGCTTGATGGTGAGATTCTTGAGGCAGATACTCTAAAAATGAGTCTTAATAATGTCTATGTATTTTCCATATTCATTACTTGTTCTTCCAGACTAAGAAGGAAAGTATTCCATTACTATTTCTTTCAGATATTACTACAAGCAAGGACAATTTCCAGTCACCAGAGTACCAGTCATAGTTTCAGTACTTCAAACAGGCAGAAAAAAATGTTTCAAATAGTTGTGTAGTCTATCATTATTACTGGGTCAAACAGGCGTATCATCCTAGCCCCAGCTTCCTTTCCAATTCCCTTCTGGTTTCAAGATGAAAAATGGCTGGCTATGATCAAGATTAATTTTAAGGCAGCTTCAATTTGTTGGAAGTATTAACTTCCCATTCTTCCAACAATTTTCTGGAAGTGGCATGTTTATAGCAATTATGCTTATATAACAGACATTATATTGAGAATGAAAAAGCTGGAGACTGCCACTTGAGTATACATGAAATGGAAAATTTCAGTTGGTTTACTTAAATTATTCAGTAAAAGTTGTTTTATTATACCAAAATTGTTAATCTGATAAGCCTTAACATTACTGCAAGTCCCTAAAATCTTTTGCTTAAAAATTTACTTATCTGTATTATACAAAAATAAATAAATTCATAAATTAATAAAGGAATTCCAGGAAAAATATAAGCTGCCTCTCTTTTTTAAAAGTTTAAGAGCCACTATAACATTGGTTCTCTTTTATAACCAAACTCTAAATCAACTTTCCCCATCCTGGTGCCCTCTAAATACTTTAACACTGTCCATAATGGCTTGGACTAATGAGAGTTGAGTCCAAAAATCTGGAGGGCACCAGGCTGGAGAAGCTTGCTTTATATGCTGTACAGCTTTCCTGGAATATACATGTATTATTGCAGAAGTTTTAATATAATTAAATATAGTATCCCAGAAATATACTTTTCCACCCTAGAAAAGTTTTAAAAGCTGTATTTCCTTATTAAAAAGCTTCAGTTCCTGCTTCCAGAAGAATGTTGATTGTTGCTGCCAACCTGAAGCAACTATTTCCAAAAGAAAAAGTTATGTATTTTGAAGTCCCTGAAACTTCAGTATAGACGTATATCGCAGGCCCTTCTTCAACAGACAAGTGATCCAGAAAAGAAAAGTGAAATGCATCAGTTATTGACAAGAAGATAGAAAGACTGTCTGTTTATGACTACAGAAAATAATACTTCTACCAGTTCATTGTAGCAATATGAATCTGCAATTCAAAATCATTACTACTAAGTAATCAAGAAAGCATTTACCAGATGCAAAACATCTCTCCTTTTTTGAGTTGTGGAATGAGAAACGATTCACAAAGGTATAAAGCTAAGGCAATCTTCCCTTCCTTTGCAATGTTGCAGATGATTTCAATGCCATTCTTGCAATCAGTCCTCAGCAAGTGCTATACAATCAAAATAAGATCAATTTAAGCAAGTCTAGAAACAGAAAAACTAACTGGAATTTTCAGCTACTGTTATTTGGGCTATCACTGTTAAATGTAAAGGCCAAATTTATTTGTGGGAGAGGGAAGGACTGGGGAGGGGTGGGAAAGAATACTGAAATATATACAAGAAATAATTAAAAGGATAATTATAATTTTGTACACAATGTATATCTGAGCATGCAACTTGATTGATAGCTTGAAACTAGATCTCAGCAAAATGCACCCTTAATACACTTACCATTTATAACAAATACATATAATTTAATTATTTAGTTGTTTTAAATTAACTTTTTGTAGTTTTAACTTTGCTATTAAATGCTGTCTGTGTTACAGAAAAGTGTCTAATAAATTCAATAAATCCTCCTCACCTCTGCTTTTGCAGTTTCCCTTAACAGAAGAAAATCATCTTGACTAAAAGCTGCTTAAAATTTCCTCTTGGCAATTTCATCTTTCCACTTTCTATAAGCACCCTATGACCTCTTAAGGACTAATAATGGCATAGAGCAAATGCTATGCAACCAATTAGGGAGATCCATTTGGTCTTCAGAAATTATTGTGTATACAGCTACAATATTTAGTCCAAAAAAGTGTTTTAAAGGAAATGTAAATGTGACCATTTGTCTATTTATTTATTGTTGTGAGCCACCCCGAGGCTTCGGCGAATGGGGCGGCATAGAAGTTCGCTAAATAAATAAATAAATAAATAATATTTGGCTATAATGTGAATAAAAAGCCTTTCCTGTATCAGCACATGCTATGAATCTGCTAAGGAAAAAATATACTCTACCAGTCCTTTGTAGCAATACCTCTTGGAACAGCTGATCTTCCAGTGGTGACATATAAAGACACATGAAAAATGCTTGATGGAAGTAAAGGTCTTCGCTAATATCAGGATGATTCATGCAAGATTTGATAAGAGCCATTGCCTCTGGGATGCGTTCACAAGCAATAAGATATCTGGCACGCAATTCAAAGAACAGTGGATTTTCAGAGCTTAAATATTTGTTAACTGGTAAAACAAAAAGACAGATCATTAGATTACAAAAAATAAAATTACAAAGTAGATTAAATAAAAGTTCAGTTTCATAAAATAGCACATGAAGCGTTTCTGTTAAAGTTAAAAGAAATTAAACTAGGAATACAGCAAGCATATTTTTCCTCAGATAATAAATAGGGTCAGTCTAGAGAAAAAGGATTTTATAAAAACAACTGCTTCAGAAGACAGTATATAAATTGCTACAGGAACAGAAAGTAACATTCACTTCCATTGCCACAAGACTATCTTACAGAACCTTAACCTCAGTTAGATACCTTGAAAAGTCATTTCTTTAGATGGAAAGTTACTGAATAGTCTTCAGTTGTGTCTGCATTCCAAACCCCACAAAAAGCAAAGGCTTTGCATGGGAAAAGATCTGTAAATGTAATGGGGCAATGCATGTGAAGCTTTGAAACTTTTGCTCACTTCAGAAGCAATAGATGCAAACATTAAAAAAACACTAGATCATGACCATTATATTTACATCAGAAGTCACACAATACCTTCAACTTTGATTTCCACTGAGCTTTTTATAGTTTTGGTTGAACTGGTGCCTGGCAGTAACAATACTGAGGAGTCGGGTAAAACTCCCCTACATAAAATGGTAAATATCAATTCCATATTGCTTTCCCCAATCTAAAGCCAATAGCAAAGAACCTGCAAGCTGCAGAAAATCTTCAATAGGTATCACAATACAGGAAAATTCACTGAGATATTATTTGTAGTTATCGATGGAAAAAAAGAAATACCTAACTCCTGAGAAACTGGCTTTGCTTTAAGAACAGCTTGTAATACATGATCCTCCCAAGGTCCTCCATCTCTGATAATTCGAGTCACCAATTCCAAGTTAACATTTCTGTATCTGCTCAAGAGGTTCTGACAGTCCTAAAAAAGAAAATAAGTATTAAACCACTTAAAGCAGACACATACACATGGACATTTTCATAAACAAAAATTGTGTATTTTTCTAATTATACTTTTTATACATTAAATAATACGTTTACACAATTTGTTCTTATCTATTTTATGTCCTAAGTTCAATAATATTCTCATCATTTAGCATTTTAATAAATCAAAAAGTGAATGAGTATGCATGAAACACAATGCTTCTGTGAAGAAAATGCAGGTCAGAAGCACACTAAAAAAGAAAAAAAAAAGAAAAAAAAAACAACACTCTACCAATTAATATTTTATTTCTATCCTGTCCTTCTGCCAAACAGTGGCACTCAGCTAATGATCAGCTGAAGACCCATCATACAGCAACCAAAAAGATGCTGGCCAGACAGGAAATCTAGCTCTGCTTTCAGGCTTGCCTTTTCAATATTTCTTTACTGCTTTGTTCAAGAACCCCCTCACAGCAGCACATTATGAAACCACAGAGAACAATCCAACATCCTCTCACAGTGGTGGCATGCTAGAAGTGGCATGCTAGGAGGCAAGCCCAAGGGCAGCAGCGTTTGTACCAGGATTGTGCATTTCCACGAAAAAAAAATGGAATTAAGAAAAATACCGCAGCAAATTAGATTAATTTACACAGGAAATGTTTTTAATTTGCATTGGAAAAATGCTCTGATGTCCTAGACAACTTGTGGCCCTTCAGATGTTTTGGCCTACAACTCATTAGCCAGCATAGTCACTGGTGACAAAAGTTGATGAAAGCCTTAGGTCAAAACATCTGAAGAACCACAAGCTGTCCCACTCTGCCTTAATTTCATACTAAGTTAGTTTTCACTTTCTTAGGTCAGATTTACAGTCATGGTAGAAGCAGCCGGCATCGTTCCTTCTGCATTATCTGCAAGCAGGAGGAGGGTGCTCAAGCTCAGGAGACCCAGCTAAAAAGATGCAGCAATTTTCTGACCTTGCTGAGTATTGGAAAAATCCTATAACTGTCCAAATGTTGACAGCAAGCCACAGGATTGTGTTGGTAAAGTGATTCAAATGTTACAGTATGTAGAAATTTTAATGAAATTCTTGTTGAAGTTCCAAGTCAATGATATATTAAATTTAACACTATTTAAATTTAAGAAAAAGCAAAGGTACTGAAAACCATTGACACACTAATTAATTTTAGCAAGCCAAAGAACTGCACAATATGGTGGCAACCAATCATCTATTTCAGTAGAGTTCACCTCTCTTCCACTAAGATCAATGGGACACCTTCAGTTTCACTGCCACTACTTATTAGTTCCATTTCACACCCATGCACTTCAATGACATATATGAATTCTTTCACATACTTGCTAGGGATAATCACCTGAAAAACATTATTTACAATTTTGAAACTGTCAAGCTTGCCTAATATTGTATTTGCAATTGACATGCAATCGCTACTAATAAACTTATGGAACAGAAAATTTTCTACACAAAAATAAAGCACTAGGAAATTCTCAGCAGTGAAGAAAGGAAATCCAGGAAATTCAAAAAGTTGTGAGACTCTCAGGCTCTTTTTCTAACCAATCAATACTACCAGTATCTTCTCATTTAGGCCTGGAAAATTGTGAAATGGGAATGTGGGAAAAAGTGATGGAAGCAGGATTAAGAAAGAATGGGACAAATTCACAAACATCATCATCATCACAGCAACAAAGCGGGGGGCGGGGGAGAAGGCTGTCCCTGTCTTAAAGAAGTTTAGTATTAAAAGCTAATCATACTGTTTATATAAATCCTAGAATACAGGTTTTACAAATACTACAGATAGTTTAAACTTTCAATAAACAACAGTCTAACTCAGGGGGTCCTCAAACTTTTTAAACAGGGTGCCAGTTCACTGTCCCTCGGACTGTTGAGGGGCTGGACTATAGTTAGAAAAAAATATGAACGAATTCCTATGCACACTGCACATATCTTATTGGTAGTGCCAAAAAAACCCCAGGAAAAACAATGCAATATTTAAAATGAAGAACAATTTTAATCAACATAAACTTACTGGTATTTCAATGGGAAGTATAGGCCTGCTTTTGGCTAATGAGATGGGCAATGACCGGTTCCATATTCGCTCCTCTCTTCTGTATTCAGAACTAACGCATGCGTGCAGCAGGGGAAAGAGCTGGCGTGTACGCAAATCATGCTGGCAAGACCAGCACAGCAGCAGGAGCTACCCAGAGCTAGCGGAGAGAGCCGGCGCATGTGCAGTTGAAGGGAGCTGTCTCAATTTGGCGCGTGCACCGGCTCTCTGCTAGTCTTCAAAACTGAAAAAGTTTCAGAGTACACCTGCACCGGTTCAGAGCTTTCAGACTCATTCGGAGATCATTTTCTCTGAATGCATCTGAAAGCTCTGAGGCGGGCCGGGTAAATGACATTCGTGGGCTGTATCTGGCCCACAGGCCGTAGTTTGAGGACCCCTGGTCTAACTATTGCTTATGACACAAGTGCCACATCCAAGAATAGCAGTGTAATAATTGCTACTTCCCAAATATATGTATAACAAATTACCTGGATTGAACCCAGAATATCTTTTAAAGGATCTTCATAGAATTCATCCTTTCCAAAGAACAACAGTAATTCAAAAAAACTCCTAAAAAAACAACAAAGCAGGCAGGAATAAAAAAAATCAAGCAAATCATTAAAGCATATTGAGTCACAAATTTTAAGTATTGTAAGTGAAGCAGTAATGTGGCTTAGGTTCCTGTGGGCTTTCTATCAAACAAGTAAGTTTAATTTTATCAGATCACAAGAAGTCGGTGCAGATACTAAAGCACAGACTCCTTACTAAAGCAGTAAAAAGGTGGGCTGCTGCATTCTGCACCAGCTGAAGTTTCTTGACTTCAAATATACCTTCACAGTGGTATCTAACCTTATGTACACAAAATATAAAGGTCCCACTAGATGGAGTTATTGAAATGCATTCCTGGCCCACACTGTAACATACAGTGTTAAGTGAAGTGATTAATTCCTAAACCTAAAACTTAAGTGACAAGGTCAGACTACATTAATAATTGCAAAGCTGCTAAATAGTAAATTGTTAGTGTTCTTGTCTAAGAACACAAGACCCTTATGTTGGCAAGACCCTCACCCCTTGCCAAGCACAGGGGCCGTCATCAGCATTAATTCAAACACATCAACATCATAAACACTAAATGAACAAACCACATGATTGCACAATTTGGTTCAGATATGAGAGAGAGTAAGCGGAAGAGGGAGAAGATGGGGAGGGAGAGAATGTCCAGTTTCACCCAACTCCAAATCCCAGGATAATCTAGTCCAGTGATGTAGAATTTCTTTTGCCCCAAGAGCCAAATTTCATTTAGAAAAGCTTTCAGGTATCATATTGCAGTGGTGGGTAGACTGAAGGCAAGAAGGGCACAGCCAAAATGCCAGCATATTTTAACATAGCACTTACTGTCAGTAAATAAGCCTTAGCAGAGGTATTTGAACCATTTAGGATTTGCTGAAAATGGTAAAATGTCAAGAAAACTCCGGATGATTGGTGGTAGGAAGAAAGTGAGTAGGGCTGGGGAAGGAAGTATAGCCATATGGGGAATGTGGAGTTTCAGACTGGATTTAGCCCCCAAGCCTGATGTTCTACATCCATAATTTAAAACTATGATGGGTGAGAGAGAATGGGATGGAAGGAACCCTCATAGAACAGGTTTCCATAGAGATAAAATGTATGACTGTTCTTTGTGGTTTTCATGTCAGAAATGCAAGTAACATCTTGAGGTTCACAGACCACATCAGGCCACCAAGAGCACCTCAAGCTAAACTACATGTTATTTTACTGTTCATTAATTTAAGGCAAAATTAGTCAGCAAAAGCCATAAAACAATCGTAGGGTCTTCAGACTTGGATACGAAGAAAGCCGCAAAACGGTGTGCTTGAAAATTTAAGCCTACTATTATCTCCAGGAGTCTACAATTATTAGTTTTAGATAAGCCAAAAACTTGAAGCCATCCCGAGGCGTTAAGTGATGGGACGGCATATAAAAACTCCAAACAAACAAACAAACAAACAAACAAAAGCTAACAGCCTCTAGAGCCCCCTCCCCCTTTCTGAGCAAGTTCTCCATCTATAGCCTTTTCTGATGCTGATACTTGTTGAAGATCTATAGCAGGGGTCTCAAACTCGCAGCCCGCGGGCCAATTGCCGGGATGGGCAGGGCATGGGGGAGGGGCCCTGTGGCCTTCAAAGCGCTGGCGGCGCCCAGGCCAGCCGTGGGATGAGCGGCCCACCACCACCCAGACTCTACTTCCAGCGGCCCCCAGGTAAGTTGAGTTTGAGACCCCTGATCTATAGGGTGCTTTCCAGCTAGGGTATCCATTTCCTCTGCTCCTCAGAAAGGAAGGCTGAGGACTGGCACTTTGGTCCTGTACAACTGAAGCTCTTTAGACTTCTTGGCTATGTAGCTGCCCAACAATTCTAAGATTCCCCCTGCCCCCAGTGTGGGAACAGTGGAGTGATAGGGATCATTGCACAACCACCAAAATAATCCTTCCTCACCTCTGTAATTTCTAAGTGCTGAGGAAAGCTGGCTTGTCAGAATGGTGCCACCCTCACGCTACATCAACATTTGACCAACTGCAGATAAGAAGCTTTCAGTTTGCCCTGCTTAAGGAAGACCCTCATAATCCCAGTCACCAACTAAACAAACTAGCCCCTCATTTCAGTGTCAAAAAAGAGAATGCCACCAGTCTCTCTCTAATTCTAAGTACATATTCTACACTAACCAAGGAAACCAATATGTATCCAAGGCACACAAAATTGAGCTTCTCATATTTCAAAACCATGTCAGTACTAAAACTTGTAGCTCACAAATCAAACTGAACACTACTATAGTCTGTAAAGGAAAAAGGGTTGGGATGGATTAGGTATTCAAAATAACGAATATTTAAATATGAAGATACTTCTGTTGTCTTAATGACAGTGTCCTAGGTTTGTTCAAGTACCTAAGCATGTTTTCTAATTTAAAATATTAATTTAATGTACCCCATGAAAAATATTTATCCATATGCCATCTAGAATTAGCTTTTCTAGGAAATGTTCAGCCCTGTTTCCAGACTTGTCTGCATCCATCAAAAACAGATAGAACACAAGATATTTCATCTATCTATGGACATCCAAATGTTATATGAACAAGTATATGGACTGTTTGCTGTATCAAATAAACTTTTACATGCTTGATGGTATAAAGTCCTTATTAATTTACAAAATTCAGAAAAGTGTAAAATTGCCCTTGAAGATCAAATTCTGAAGTGATTGTAAGTCATCCAGCAAGCTGACATAGATATCTTAGCAAAGAGAAAAGCAAAGATATACTTACAAGGCTAGGCTACTCAGCACATACTGTACATGCTCACATTCAGCTGGGAATGATACACATGCAGATGTGAAACAACAGAGTGCTGTCTGAAGTACTTGAAGCTGTGGCAGAGGAACCTGCCATCTTCCAGCATAGTCTTCAACAACCTATGGGGACAGGGGAAAAAGCATTCAAATTAAATTTGGTGAGAAGTAATATACAAGCAGGAACAGAGATATCCCCACAAATTGTACAGCCATGATAACCATCTGTGTATTAATGATGCTCAGATGAGCAGTCTGCTGCCATGGACAATAAAATCACCATGACAGCTTGCCACCATCCTAGCCAAAATAGGCACAATGGCAATGAGAATTAGATGTAGACTAGTCCATGGTTTGATGACCACCAATATTACACAGTCACCTTATTAATTCTACTGGTGCTCTGCAGCAAGCAAATTCTGGTGGCTTGCCTTTCCGGTCTTTTATGAAATTTCAATGGCAAGCTGTGGTAAACTGCAATTAATATTAAAATGGTATTGTTATTACTATATTGCATTTACATCCTGCCTTTTCCTCTTGCTAGGATCCCAGGGCAGCTTGCATAGTTCCATTTCTGTTTTTCTTTTTCCTTAGATGTGTACAATAGACAGCACTTCATCTCATCTTACTCACAACTTTCTTCAAGAGCTAACATGTAATATATAGAAAGTAAGAAGAAATAAAAGGCAGCCAAATAATGAAGAAGGGGTATAGAGCAAAAGTAAGAGGAGAGAATGAGTGGGGACATCAACCTGGCCCAGCCATCTCTCAGTGAAGAAACTGTTCCAGGGAGTGTACTTTTCCATGCATATCAGAACACTCTGCTTTAAACTGCTTCTTGCCCCAGGGCTGCTTGAGTAAGTGAAAATAACCTTCTGCCCCATTCATTCAGCCAAATTACCATCAATTCAAGCAACTTCATCACCAATAGAAAATCAACCTTGCCTGAAGTGCCATATTAAAGCTCACCACCTTGTACTGGCTATACAAAACAGACCTCCCCACTCTTCTTTTTCTCTCTACTTCCCTTTCCTTGTGTGTCTTATATTTTCAGCTTGTAATCCTGCTGCTTTTCGACTGATACAAATAGTATTTGGAAACAGTTGTCTAAAAAGCAGGAAAAAATACAGAAGAAATAATAATTAATGCAAGTACATGAGCTGCAGTACGTGTGTTTAAAATCTGTCTATGGATGTCTATGCTGATCAGAACTATTATTAACAAAACCCTTCTTAACTGTGAATTTAAATAAACAAAACTTCAATGCACCTGTTTGCCTATAGTCATCAGGACTAATAGTCATTGATAGCTTTATTCTCCATGAAATAGCCACATCTCCTTTTAAAACCATCCAAATTAGTGGTCATTACTACATGTTGTAAAAGAGAATTCCACCGTGTAACTAAGCAATGTCTGAAGCACTTCCTTTTATCTGTCCTGAATCCCCCACCAATGAGTTTCACAGAACAATTCCACATTTTAGTATTATAAGCAAGAAAAATCTCTCCCTATCCACCTTTTCCAAACCACACATAATTCTGTACACTGTCTCCCTTTACATAGATTTTATCTAAACAGCCTCAGCTGTTGTAAGCTTTATTCATAGGAGAGTTGATACAGTCCCTTGATCATTTTAATTGCACTTTTCTGCTATTTTCCAAAATCTACAATGTCTTTTTTTAAGTTTGGTGGTCATCCCAAGTGATACTAAACCACAGATTTGAATGAAGTGAGTATGATCTTGGTAGTTTTATTTTTCAATTCTTATCCTAATTATGTCTATCATGGGAGTTCCCTTTTTCACAGCATCTACGCACAAAGTCAACATTTTCATTGAGATATTCACTGCAAGTTCCCTTTTTGGCTAGTCACTCCTAGCTCAGATCCCACAAGCTTATACTTAAAATTGGGATTTTTCTTGCCCCAGTGTAAAGTACTTTATGCTTGCTTACAATGAAGCACATTTGCCATTTTGATGCCCAGACGTCTTTGTAGCTCTTTGAAATCCCCTAAATAGTTTGGTATTGTCAGCAAACTTGGCCACATCACCGATCGTTCCTAATTCCAGTGCATTTATAAATAAGTCGAAAAGCAATAGTTTCAATATGAATTCTTGTAGAATACCACTGTATACATTCCTCCATTGGGAGAATTTACCATTTCTACCTTGTGACCAGAGCTCTCTTCAAGAAAATTGGAGAAAGGAAGGGAACATTTGATGCAAAGATGGGCATAATAAAGGACCAAAATGACAGGGACCTAACAGAGGCAGATGAGATTAAGAAGAGGTGGCAAGATTACACAGAAGAACTATACAAGAAAGAGTTAACGTCCCTGATAACCACGATGGGGTAGTCACTGACCTCGAGCCAGACATCCTGGAATGTGAAGTCAAATGGGCCTTAGGAAGTCTGAGCAACAACAAAGCTAGCGGAGATGACAGTATTCCAGTTGAGCTATTCAAAATCTTAAAAGACGATGCAGTAAAGGTGCTACATTCAATATGCCAGCAAATTTAGAAAACTCAACAGTGGCCACAGGATTGGAAAAGGTCAGTTTACATTCCAATCCCAAAGAAGGGGAAAGCCAAAGAATGTTCAAACTACTCCACCACTGCACTCATTCCACATGCTACTAAGGTTATGCTCAAAATCCTACAAGCTAGGCTCCAGCAGTATGTGGACCGAGAACTACCAGAAGTACAGTCAGGATTTCGAAGAGGCAGAGGAACTAGAGATCAAATTGCCAACATACGCTGGATAATGGAGAAGGCAGAAAAACATCTACTTCTGCTTCACTGACTATGCTAAAGCTTTTGATTGTGAGGAACACAACAAATTGTGGCAAGTTCTTAAAGAGATGGGAATACCAGACCATCTTATTTGTCTCTTGAGAAACCTATATACTGGTCAAGAAGCAAGAGAACTGGACACAGAACCACCAATTGGTTCAAAATTGAGAAAGGAGTTCGGCAAGGCTGTATACTGTCACCCAGCCTATTTAACTTATATGCAGAGCACATCATGAGAAAGGCGGGGCAGATGAATCACCAGTTGGAATTAAGATTGCTGGGAGAAATATCAACAACCTCAGATAGGCAGATGATACCATTCTAATGGCAGAAAGTGAAGAGGAACTAAAGAGCCTATTGCTGTGGGTGAAGAAGGAGAGCACAAAAGTTGGTTTGAAACTAAACATTAAGAAAACCAAGATCATGGCATCTGGTCCTATTGGCATCCTGGCAAATAGATGGGGAAAAATAGAGGTAGTGACAGATTTTATTTTCCTGGACTCCCAGATCAGATGGGGACTGCAGCCAAGAAATTAAAAGACGCTTGCTCCTGGAGAGGAGAGCTGTGGTAAATCTAGACAGCATACTAAAAAGCAGAGACATCACCCTGCCAACAAAAGTGCGTATAGTCCAGGCTATGGTTTTCCCAGTTGCAATGTATGGCTCTGAAAGTTGGACCATAAGGAAGGCTGAGTGCCAAAGAATTGCAGCCTTTGAACTTGGTGCTGGAGAAGACTCCTGTGAGTCCACTGGACTGCAAGGCGATCAAACCAGTCAGTCCTAGAGGAGATCAACCCTGACTGCTCCTTAGAAGGCCAGGTACTGAAGATGAAACTCAAGTACTTTGGCCACCTAATGAGAAGGAAGGACTCACAGGAGAAGAGCCTAATGCTGGGAACAATACATGGCAAAAGAAGAAGGGGATGGCAGAGAATGAGGTGGCTAGATGGAGTCACTGAAGCAGTCGGCATGAGCTTAAGTGGACTCTGGGGGATGGTGGAGGACAGGAAGGCCTGGAGGAATGTTGTCCATGGGGTCGTGATGGGTCGGACACGACTTACAACAACAACAACACCTTGTGCTTTCCATTATCTAACAAGATACTGATCCATAAAAGGACCATTTCTCATATTTCATGGCTGCTGAGTTTACTCAGTAATCTTTAATGATGTCTTTTGTAAAAGGCATTTGGGAATTCCCAGTTTGCAACAACTAACAGATTACCCCTGTCTGCAAGTTATCCACGATCTCAAAGAACTCCAAAAGTTTAGAGAGTCATGACTTACCTTTGTGAAAGCTAAGCTAATTCTTTTGGGTTTTTGGCCAAGTCTCTCCTTTTATAAGCTTAATAATTTTATTTTTAATTTACCCAGAAATTTACCAATTTACCCAGAAAAGATACTAAGTTACCTGTCTTATTTCCCAGATCTGGATCCCTTTTTAACATTTGGCTGCTCCCCAATCCTCTGGTAAAGACGCTGATCTTAGGGATATATTAAATATTTGGTTAAGAAGGTCAGTAATTTCATATTTGAGTTCTTTAAGAACTCTAGGATGGATACTATCTGGGTTGAGTGATTTGTCAATCACTATTTGACTTTCAATTCATCAATAGGTTAAGAGCTTCATCTTTTTTTTTTTTTTTACCATTTTTCTCAGTTCTCCAGATTCCCTTCATGAAAACCTAAATACTGGTATCTGTTGTATATCTTCTACAATGCAGATGCATGTAAAGAATTCATTCAGCTTCTCTGAAATCTCCATATGCTACTTTATTTATCTTATATTCCACATTAGTAGTCCAAAGGACTAAGCAGATTACAGCAAAACTAGACAAAAAATAGAATAGCAACTTTAAGTAGCAACAACAAAACACAAGGTAAAAATGCATAGCATGCAATAACAATACACAATAAAATTCCTGATCTACAACTGAAGGTTAGGTGTGAATACTTTAAAAATTATGTTAAAACTATGAAACAGAATAAAACCATGTACTATTAAATCAAACTGTATAAAATCAATTATTAAAATGCCTGAAGAATAAAGTTGTTTTTGCCTGATGCAAAACGAGTAGAGTGAAGGCACCAGGCAAACTGTTTTCAGGAGGCCATTCCCTAGATGGGGTGAAACCACTTAGAAGGCCCCTCTTCTACTTGCCATCCTCCTTACCTCCTTGGAGAATGGCTCTTTCAGAAGCACCTCCTCACCTGATCCTAGTGGCCTGGTAAGCATATATGGGAGCAGGCAGTCCTTTGGATATCCTGGTCCCAAGCTGTTTAGGGCTTTATATGTTAAAACAAGCACCTTATAGTGGGCCCGGAGCTCAACT